ATTAGAAATGATATTCTTAAAGTGTTTGAATTGAGATTCCTAAAATAAGGAATTAATATTCCTATCTTAACGGAAGTGGATTCCATGAAGATTCCTTGTCACAATCGTTCCATTGGGATTCTGAATTGGAATTGCAACTTTGGGAGTGAAATTTTGGTAACTATGGTTTGTAGTTTGAACTTTGCAGTTTTGAATCAATCATTCTTCATTTTTGGACTTAATTTCAGCAGAACATTAAATTTTCTTTTTGTTTTTCTTTTGGCTTAAACTCTTGGCATTCTTCCGTTCTTGTGCTAACAAAAAAAAGAAAAGAAAATGAAATTCAAACAATTGTTTCTCTTTGAATTAGTCACTTTGTCCTTTTCTTCCTTTTAACCATCTTTCCATTTTCCCATTAATTTAGTTTTGAAGCAGGCGAGAATATATTACTAATTTACTAATTACAAGAACCACAGGAAATATGAGGGACAGGCAACCCACATGCTTGGTGCTCCATATGTGAAAAAAAAGGGAACAAAATTGAGAAGTTGGAAGCAGAAAAGCGAAATAAGGATGTAGGCGTTCGACTTGTCAGGTCTTCTTACACTGCCCATAGATGCACAGAAATGAGAAAATGGAAATATTGCCCAAAGTAGATAAAAAAACAGTACATTCAGAGAGAGGATACTGCCAAAGGTGAGAAAGAGGGAGAGAGGATTAAGCAGATGGCAAGAAAAGGAATGAGGATAGCTCGAAGGTGGAAAGAAATGAAAAGAGAGATGGTGCTTATAGGGGGAGAGAAGAGATTGGGCATTTTTGTATATCATGAAAGAGAGAGGGCACAGCATAGAGGTAGAGAAAATAAGAGAGACTAGAAATTGTAGGCATTTAGGTGAGAGATAGGGGGCAGTATGTTAAAGTTGGACAGAGTGAGATTAGAGAGGAAAAGGGGTAAAAAGTTTATCAGAGTGAGAAGAGCGAAAGAGTGCAAAAAACGAGAAAATAGAGTAGATAGAGAAAAAGGAACTATTTAGAAAGACCAAAAAGAAAATCCAGAAGAAGATAAGTCATGAATTGTGGTAGCGGCACTTACCTCGAAGCATTCACCGACAAATTGGCGTCCTGCTGAGTATAACAGAAATCTCAAAGCTGTTTGCATATGCATGATCAAAGATTTGGGAGAGTCTTCATGGGTATTGGCACTTTTCAGTAGTCCACATAATGATGTTCTTGGAATCCCCCTCGATTCTGCGATTCGACCCCCAGCTGGGTTTGAATCTCTTTATGCCTTTCAGTAGGCCACTGGCCTCCGCCCATGTGGAGTTGCCTATCCTAAGGAAATAGTTGAAGAAATAGCTGGTGCTTTCCTCAGTGTCTTGTGAAAGACTCCAAAACCGCAGTGCCTGGGGTTACCCAGGAACAGACATCCATGTTAAGCTTGATGCGACCCTCACTTGGGAGGGGTCCACAAGTTGGAACCTGGGACTCTGTTAGGTTTATGTTTGATGATGTTCGACCAACTGGAGACAAAGTCGAACTCAGAGAATTGTTTTAGATCTTTGTAATTTATTGCCCAAACTATAAGGAGATCTCTAGCATACTTTGCCAAGGCCGACTTTGTTCTCTTTACTCCATATTTTGAGTTCTCTTCCCCAAATGGTCCATAGAATGGCCAGGATAGAAGCTCTACAGAAGAGACCTGCCCCAGGGTAGGGTGGGGAGAAATATCCAGAGTATACTTGCTTGATGGATTGCATGTTCACCCATTTACAGTTGAAGTCTTGCAAGACCTGGGCCTAAAGCGGCATAGGAAAAATTACAACAAAGGAACGTGGGGACTATGTGTTTCTTCTGCTTTGAAGCACATACAGTAACAGCTTGCATGGGGGAAATTTGTTCTTTGTAGGTGATCGACAGTTAAATTACGGTTGGAGATGGCTAGCCAGCTGAACACTTGAAGTTTGGGTGTTGCTGTTAACCAGACTTTGGTCTGCATTGAGGTTGGTGGGGTGGCAGGGGTAAGAACCTCATTGAAAGAGGAGACACTAAATATTCCAGTTTGGAATTTTTCCAATATTTATTAAGATGCTAAAGACATTAAACATCGACACTAAAGAGTTTTCCCATTATTTTCTGAGCCAAATCAATTTTCCATATATGTTTTTTGAATCAAGTATCAAACCGAATGTTAATTGAAATTTAATTCTAATTTTCCAACCGGGGAAAGAAAAATAGTCAGTTCGAATGTGTTTCTCCCTTTTATGTTTTTTTTAATTCTCTGTCTTTTGTTCTTTATTTCCTTTGGCTGGCTCTCCCGGATTGGGTGATCCCAATTGGAATCCATGATCTTGACCTGTTCCAACCAGTGGCCCTTTCAGCCAGCTGATCCAGTTTTTAAAACACTGGTTTCCTCGATAAAGCATCTATGCCATGCCCTAGTCTGTTGGCCGACATTGAAGGAATCTTCTGGGGTGGGGTTGACCTGAAAATTCTTTGGTTTTGCCAAGTTTTCCTTGAAAACTGTGAACTTGAACAACCTAAGAAATAGCCATACTTTGTCGACCACGGTGGGGTTCGCATGGCAGAAGGCAAGAGTGTCATCCACTTTGTGGAGTTGGGAGAACAATTGGCCTTCTCTAGAGGATTTGAAGCCTTAAAGAATAGTCTAATCAAAGTGATTGGTGATGAATTTAGTATAGAACTTCTCTGTAACTGTAGACAGGAAAGGAAAGGGGGGGACTCCTTGTTTTTTTTCAGAGTAAATTGACTATTGTATTAATAATTTAAGGGAGTACATGATATTGGTAGATACAAAATTAGGCAATCCCCATTAATGATTCAGATAAGCTTTACAACACCATGAAGAAAACAAAGAGAAGAGGGCACGGGATTAGTCTAAGTCCTCTAAGGGGGTTGAGGCTGGCTCCCTCCCTGGCTAGTGCATCTGCATCGGTGTTAGCCTTCCTATGTGTGTCTCCAAGAGACTTGGATAGAGCTACATAGGTGAGCAATCTTGGCAAAAATGTGGTCTGAATGGGGGAGGAGCTAGATGCCCAAGAGATAGTGTTTTTAGAGTCGCCCTCGACCAATAACTGGGTCCCCTGATTGCGGTCAAATCGTTTTAGGCCGTGACACAGGGCCAGGGGGTAGAGTCCGACAGTCCAATAGGCAGTGCAAACGATAAGTTAATTAGGTCATCAGAATTCCTAAAGAGGCGTCCAATGCTGGAGGGGTCTGAGTTCCCGAGAGAGAAACTGTCGAAATTTAATTTGATGAACCCTATTTCTGGCAGTCTCCATAGGGATGCTCGAGGTATCCTCATGACCCTAGAAGGAAACATTGGAGAAGCTTAAATGGTTGAGAGTCCAAAAGGTGACAAGAGACCTTCGCTTCTCTATGAGGGTAGGAATAGAGGCTGTTTCCGCTCTAATGTCTTACTATTCCTTTCAATCCAGATAATCCATAAGGTAGCAGCAGTGGAGGCTATCCATAATAGTTCCCCTGAGTTGTTCCATGGGGTGCGAGAGTATGAGGAGAATAGGTGGGGAACTGACTGGGGAGTGACTCACGGCCACTTAAAGAGCATGAGCACATCTGTTCAAAGGCCTATGGCCACTTCACAATATAGGAAAACGCGGTGATTAGTCTCTTCAGCGTTGCAGCACATTATACATCGGTTTGGCAACGGCAAACCCCTATGTTGAAGATGGTTGAGATATCAGGTAAAGAATTGGATTTTCGGAGGCTAGAATGAACTCCAAGCCTTAGCAGCTATGGGATAGGATGCTTGAGGATGGGGAGAGAGGGAGGTAAGGCTTCGGTAGAAGGCCTCTTATCTGCTGGGAAGTAGTTCATAGGGAGCCATTTGTTAGGACTAAGAACTATGTTTTGGAGATGCAACGATGAGTCCAAATCCTCCATTTGGCCCATGTGCAATTGACTACTTGGTCAAGAATAGATCCTCATGTTTCATTTGAAGTTATTGTTTTATTTGCTATATTCTTCGATATCCTGTTGTAGCATTTGTGAATTAGTTCTTAAAAAATATTTTGAAGGGTGTGGACATGTATGGCAATCCTGCTGGACCACATTGTGCATTTGATCCTGCATCCAAAATACCTAGTTAGGGGCATTTATGTGGACTCTAGTTCCTAAGTTGGTGCTTGAACAATTTGGTCCCTCGGGACCACATAACCTTTCTTTTGTGTTTGAACTCTTTATGTTCCCCATTCTTCGCATTTGTGTGGCATGCAGCATCTTTACCTGGTTGTCTTATCTCTGAAAGTTTCTTGATGGTTGTCAGGGACATAAATCTAAACATCGGAGTCACAAAAGATACAACGATCATTAACCTCAGGTGCAGATCTCCAGTTTCCCATGGATGGTACCAATGTAAATGAAATCAACACTTAGCCGCTTTTATTTGTATATTATTTGATTTGATAGCTATTTTGAGAAGAATCAGCAATCGCTTGTTTTTGAGGATTGCAAAATCTATGTAGAGTTCCATCATAGAAACGATTAGCAAGGTTTTAAGTGATTATAACTTGTAAGATGGTTTGCATTGCATTCACAAGTTTTGAGTTCACCTCTGTATATTTGGGATGCCATTCATGAAATTACCTGGGCCTTTACTTGACGAGTTCGTTTACACATGGATAGGTTTCGGATCCGGTTTTTTGGATCATCAATGTTATACACATGATAGGTTCTTACTTTGTGATAGTCTCTCTTTTTCCGTAACAGTCAAATTATTAGTAAATAAAGATCAATCAGAAGCGAGGTGGTGTTGTTGATGGCCATGGATTTCCACTGCTCATTTATGTATTGGCATTTATTCTTCTTTCCTAACTGTTGTTTACATGATTACAAAAGGCCCTTAAGCGTATTGAGTCCATCATTTTTATTGTTAGTATCTTCACGTTTTTTTATATTAATGTCTATATGGGTGATTAAGACATGCATCATTTCCACAGATAAAGTTTGTTTTGGTGTATTTATGCTTAAACATTTTGTTTCAGCAAAGCAGGAAAAAGGTTTGGTTTATCCAGATCCTCAAGACAATAATCTTCTTGTCATACAGACACTGGATTTGCCGACCTGTTTATTGGGATGCCATGTATGCATCATTCTAATAACCGATGTTTCTCCTATCCTCCCCAACTCTATGATTCCTCATTGCAAGCAATATTATTTAATATAGAATTAAAATGTTGTAAGGACTGACTGCTAGTTTTCTATGAAGCTAGAACAACACAAACAATGTGAAGATCCATAGGAGCCCCAAGCTTTGGAATTTTGTAATGTGTTTGCATTTTTATTCGAGTATAACTCCACATGTACGCGGTTATGATTTAAACCAGGCCTTCACTCTTTTCCAATGGAGTGACACTCAAATGAAAAATGTATAGCTTTTTTTTTTTAATCATGAGCACCTTTTTCTGTGGTTGAACTTGAAATCAATTCTTCATGTAACATAACTTTCCCGTTCTTCAAGGAGTCTTAAGGACAAACTATACTTTGTCTATAATGGGCTTGATCCTGAATAATCTGTCAATTCTCATGTCTCCACTGGTTTCAGCATGACTTGCAACAAATAGCCCATTCTTTTACCTCCACAATACACTTGTCAGGAAAGCCATTACCATTACTTTTGAAATTTCAAACCTTAATGACGTTCTCTTTATTAGGGTTGGTGGCAGGTAATTAGAATTATCTGTTACCGAAGGTTTAACTGTGCTAAGGAGCTCAATTGGGCCCTCACGGGAAAGACTGAAAATTACACGATTAGAATCACACATCTCAGCAAACAAGAGACTGAAAAATGTGTGCCACATAAAAATGGAAGGAGTCAGAAGGATGGTTGACAGACCAAATTTTGGTGAGATAACCCGTTTTGCTTCCTATCTCCTTTTTCGTTGCCAATTTGTACCACGATTGTGTTTCTCCAAAATTTTCACACAGTTCATACCATAATTAGCAATTCTCCGTTTGGAACATAATTTTTTCAAAAAATCTCCTATCTTTAAAATCTGTTTAGGACTGATTTCTTCAAAAAGTCCGGATATTTTTAAGGGAACAATATAAATTCGTATTTTATCTTTTCTCAGAAAAACTTCTTCCCTATAATTTTATTTTTTCATTTAACATTATTAAATTTTAATTTAAAGATAAGCACATTAATTGTAGGAGTTAATTAAGGATCTTGATTTAACAGAAAAATCAATAAAAGTTTTTGCCAATAGGTTATTTAAGAAAGTACATGAAAAATTATATTTTTTCTTTAACGCTAGAGCGTCCTTATAAAAAGCAAGAGATAGATTCCATCACACTAAACAAATTTAAGCAATTAGGAATTCAATGTGAGATTCGAACTTGTTTATGCATTTTGTTGCGTTCTTTATGCATAAAGAATTTATGTATTTTGTTGCTTTCTTTTTGCATAAAGAATTTGATTAATTTCATATTTTTTATATCATTAGTGTATACGACATAGTATTTTTGATGGACCATTATGTTACATATTTGGATTTTTGTGTTTTGTTTTAATTAACTGTAATCTATACTAAGTGTCTTTTTTCCTTTTTTGAAAAATAATGCTATATTTTGACTTACAGTTCTTGTTATTTACTAATATAGTTGTATTCAGTATTGTTGTTGTTTCATTTTATGCTCCCAATAAATTTATGATATGTTTTGTGTTGTGACAACGGAAAAAGTATTTTTGTTGGGTTTATTGAAAGTTTAGATGATAAATTGTCAAATATTACTCTAATGGCACTAGGTAGGGCCATGAAATTATTATTCAATAGCTTTAATGTATCTATACAATAATTACGAATCATAATCCTATATTATGTGATCTTTGTATATCAAAAATTTTCATTCCATTTTTTCAGCTAAATCCGAAATATTTACGATTTTATAATATAACTTATTTTTTTGCGATTTGTATTTTTGACCCGACTTTTTCCTCTGCCTTTTTGAAATAAAACCGAGATATAACCATTGTTTTAGTTCGCCGATATAATATTATTTCCCGACTATCTAACTATAGTTCATACTGCTTCTTGTTCTAACCACACACCCGTTGAAGCATTTTTTTAAGGCGAACACATCTTGAGGCAGGAGCAAAACTTGCATGGTGAAAATCTCCCTTTAGATCATGGAACAAGCACGAAAACCTCTCGCGTGCATCACTCCCTGGATTCATCCAGTTGATTCCAAGAGGAACTGGGAGCCAAAAGAACCACCATAAAGCCGCCCAGGAAAACCCCCTACAAGATCGCTAGAACCAAGATGCAAGATCTATTAGAGAGAGCGTTGATTTTATTGCCTCCAAAGGCCTTGGCTTTTATATTAATTAAGTCAAAGAAACACTAAGTTTTTCGTACACTAGTTAACGCTCCATCATACATATTTCTTACCAAGTGGATGTAGTACCTAGAGACATTTTTTTTTTAGCACCCACCGAATCAAATCTCGAGGTACTCTATCATAAGCTTTATCTAGATCAATAAAGATCATGTTGACGTCTTTTTCATATCGACGTCTTTTTCATTTGCCTTAAATTTCTCAATCAGTTATCTAAGTAGAAAAATAGCCTTGGTTGTTGACCTCCCTAGCATAAAATCGAATTGGTTTTCTGATACACTCGTTTCTTGCCTTAGTCATTGCTTAATCACTCGCTCCTAAATCTTCATAGCGTGACCCATAAGTTTGATCCCTCGATAGTTCGTACAATTTTGTATGTTTCTTTTGTTCTTGTAAATAGATGCTACAATGCTTTTCATCCATTCGTCGGACATTTTCTTTGTTCTCTTTCCCTTGTTGAAGGGCTTAGTCTGCCGGTTAATGTCAATCTTTCCCATACACTTCCAAACCTCTATCAAGATATCATCTGGTCCGAAGGACTTTTCTATCTTTATTCTTTTCAAAGCTTCTTTCACTTTCGATACCCTAACCTATAAATATATCTATGACCTCCGCCCTCATTTATGCCAATGGTTATTTCTACCACTATGTTTCCATTGTGTTGGTCATTTAATAATTTTTAAAATAAACTCTCTGTCTTTCTTTGACATCTTTGTCCTTCACCAAGTCCCTTTGATCCTCACTCTTAATGAATTTAATAAGGTCTAGATCCCTGCATTTTTTCTCTCATTTTTTATAATTTGAAGAGATCTTTTTCATCTTTTCTTGTTCACAATTTCCTATATAGGTTATCATATGCCTTAAGTTTAGTCTTACTTCCTATTTGTTACACTGCCAAGTTTTATAATATAATCATTTTTCGCTAATGGCCTTTTGAATCTCATCACTCCACCACCAAGTTTCCTTATCGGAATTTATTTTCCCACTAGATCATCTTAAAACTTCATTTACCTAATATTATTATTTTTTATTGAATTTTCAAAATGTAATATATATATATATATATATAGGACGCAATTAGCATGTGGCCAAGCCACACATGTAGAAATGCAGGCTTGGCAATAAATATATTTTTTAAATATTTAGATAATATATAATCTTTAACATAAAGTTCATGAATATGAAAAATAAATAAATTGACAACTAGAAATAATAATTTATATTAAGAAAACATTTGGACCGTTAGTTACAATTATTTTTAGATGGACCACCTATTTGCATCTTTCTTTAAGATGGATGCTTTATACCTCTGGACCACATATTGTAGAAATGCGGTCCAGCCAGCATGAAACAATTGTTTGTAATAAAAAATATTTTGATGGTGTTGTTGCCCAAGAAAAATAGGTAGAGCCTCATTTGAAAACTCAATGAAAACTATAGTTCTGACAATGGACATTTTTAAATTGATCATCTCGACATTGATCATTATAATTGTGAAAGAAAAGTAGGATAGGGCTGCAGTCCTATAAAAATAAGTAAATCTTTTCCTTAAAACTCATCGTAAATTACAGTTTTGGTACAAAAAATCCTTCAAATCAAATCGATCATCTCAAATTTGACTATTATAGTTGTGAAAAAATTTAAGATTTCAAACCCAGAAAATAGTGTGTATTACAGCACAATATCTAGACCATTTATTTTGCCCTAAAAATGAGTGTGCATGGATCCGCAAGCTATTAGTTTTAGCTTCAAATTTCATTGTCGATATTAGCAATTGAGTTTAGAGCCATCATGAAGATTCTAATGCATAAAGTGCTTTCTAGACATGGATTTGGGGTAAGCCTTTACTTTGTTTTCATAAAGGTTAAGCCTCATAGAAACTTCATCCTTGATTAGTTAAGGGAAAGAGGTTTGAGTGAGGCCTAAGTTTTACCTAGATGAGAGTGTTAAACTACATTTTGAAAATTTCTCAAATTTATTTTATCGACCATACATTGTAAAAAAGGAAAATAGCTTTTAAAAGTCTAAATATCATATTTTTAGAACTCATTATCTAAATCATCTATTTGAAGTGTCTATAGTCTTGCTAGATCTGTATTATTTTTGGAGCTTTCAAATTTTATAATTAAGGAAAAAATAACCGCACCCTTAGTTAATAGAGGGGTGATAGTTCACAATAATAAAATTATAGTCTTTAATGGGTCAGAGTGTTGGCACATTCAAAAAGAAATTCTTCAAACACTGAAATGGAAAGTAGAGTATATAATGCTATGGCCTTAGAGAAACTATGTTCATAAAAAACATTCCAAAAAGAAACTCCGGTCATAAATGTTTATCACCATCCAATCAACAGATGAGTGATCATGAAGAGTGAGGGCCAATAATATGCATTAAAGTTAAAGTGCTAGGTGAGATTATTAACGATTTAATATACTCAAAACTCTCCCGTATCAGATAAGGATAGTATATGAATAGTTTCATGTAGAGAATATATGCCTATCAATGGACCCAACACATTGCATATAGCTGAATCTGGGCCAGATCTCATAGCATATCCAGTGCAAACTCACTGTATATTTAGTTATTTAAGATTGAGTGGGCCCTAGATGAATTCTAATTCAAAGGTGATCAGGTCTCTCTGAAGAGACCCAACCCTCTTTGGATTGTCTGTCGTGCTGGTTATAAAGCCCGTCAAAATTAATGAAAATAACTAAAAATAGACATAAGAAGCATAAAATAATGAAAATCAAAAGAGAATACTGCAAAATAAAGAAGAAATAGAAAACATACAAACAGCAGGACGTCAAGACTTACAAACGGCCAGGACGTCTGACTTGGCATCCAAAGTAGGATCAGAGCTTTATCCAGTGATTAAACCTCCTTTTCTGCTGAAATAACTGATTATCATGAATTTTAAATGATTTAGGTTATAAGGGCCTCCTGGGTTTAAGACATTAGGGCCAGGTGAAAGGATGATCTTCTTCCTGAGGTTGGATGACCATGGTTTTCTAGAAAACTAAGGTTTATGGTTGATAACTTGAAACTTGGGTTTCCTAAATAAACTACGCTAGGGTTTAAGGATAAGTTTAGCTAAGAGATCTAGGGTTTTTAAGAGTTCTATACATGAGAAATTAGAGGGGGTGATTTACAGCCACTCAGAGACTGACATCTGGCCACTGCACCATGCGATAATAGGTCATTTGGAATTTTTTTTGTAATTTTATACGGGCTAGGGTGATAATAGGTCATTTTCAAATTTTTTGGGATGTTGAGTTTGTACCTAGGTTCTTCTTAATGGCCAAAACATATTTAAAATGGCTAAGGTTAACTATTTCCTAAATTTTGGTCCTAGTATTAGGATTAAAAATATTTTGAAATTCAACCAGCTAAAGACAATGTCTATATTTCTTTGATACGCATCCAGTTCATGTCTAGAAAATAAACAACTGGTCAAGAAATGAAACAAAACTAAATAAATTGCTTTAATTCGGATTTTCTAATTATGTAAGGTCAAAAAATAGATGCTACATGAACAAGAAATGGAATTAAATAACCTACATGAAGGGTGTAGTTTACATAAGGTTGCAACCTTAAACAATCAAATTAAGGCGTACCTCTAAATTTTATCGTAAATATAATTTTGGTAAAAAGGAATTCTTTGGATGACTTGATAATCTATTTCATCTCTAATTATAAAATCTTAAACTTTAACAATGGTTCAAATCAAGTAGATCTTTAAACACTTAAAAATCGCGAAAATAAACAGTCCAGATAATGTGCTGCAAGATACAGTATTTTTAGGACTCAAATTTTTAATTTTTTTTACATCTCGATGTCGAGATGATTAATTAGATGGTTTCTAACATTAAAAGAACCTGTTATGATGGATTTTTTAGGTGCACCTTAATTTAACATTTAAGGTTGCAACCTTATATAAACATTTCCCCTACTTGAATTCTTGTTATCTAACTATGAAAGGACATCGATATCAAGTGTAAGCTTGGGATCAAGAGATCGGGATTGGCTTTGAAGGTATTCTTATAAGTTGAGTTATTTTTTCATCAAGCTGAACTTTAGCATCTTTTTTTATAGTTTAATAACTATGCTGGAGGATGTGGTGCTAGGCTTGTGAACCATCCCCATTGTTTTTTGAAAATTATTACTTTAAAAAAGCATTGACAATAAGAAAGAGTTTATAAAAATAATGGGAAAAACAGTCTACTGTCTATTATCATTTCTAGAAGATAAAAAAAAGAGATAAAAAGTTTGGAATAAGTAAATACTTAAGGGTATATTTTCAACCCACAATTGGTACATGCATCCTCTTGTATTTTCTGAAAATAAATCTTTAAAAACAAGTATGTAGTATGGGGTTTTTCTCAAGGAGGTAAAAAATAATGGGAAAAGGGTTGGGATTGTGGTGGTAGCACCCCCCACCCATACCTTAGTTGTACACCGTACTCTCCAATCCCACTAACAACCAAGTAAGGGCCGTCGTATTCATTCAAGAAAATTGTACTACAAATCCTGCAGGAAAATGTACATTCTTCCAATAAAATATTACCTTCTAATACGTTGTAAGCTTCTAGGAAAAGTAATCTATTGATTTTTTTGTTTTTTCTCTAAATTGAGAATATCGTTATAAAGAGGAAGATAGGCTATTCAATCACATCCAAAGATTTAGGACTTAGAGAACTACAATGAGGTTCAAATATTTGGATTTGTTTATGCATATTGCACGAGTCTTATTTTATTTTCACTTTGTATACATTAGTTTTATTGGTTTTATTTTTTGAATTTTTATTACGTGATTAGTGTATACAATACCACAATATAGATGAATTGCTATTTTATGTCTTACGAGTTTTTGTTAATTGAAATTTAAATATTATTTTTTCCCTAATAATTCAAAACCTTGTATTCTCATTCTTTCTGAATGTAATTGTTACTTTTAGTTTTGTTGTTGTTACTTCATTATATGTTCCTATAAGATCGTTGTATGTTGTGTGCCAGGACAGATAAAGAAAGCTCTCCGTCTTGTTGTATTTAACGAATAACTACTCGAGGCAATTTATTATGCTAGACATTGAATGCCACCAAGTCAGAAAAATTAGTATGTAATGAATTGATTGTATCACCACAATAATTGGAAATTGTAGCTTCATTTTATGTCATTGATATGTTTTCACTATTTTATATTCAAATATGGAATATTCATAGATTAACTTATCTAATTCTTAAAGATCTATATCTTTGCCTTGGTATTTTGCCTCCTATTTTTCATACCAAAACCACTTTATTGATGATTTTTGGGTTTGGTATCACATTGTTGTTCCTCAATTTGCGAACTGTAGATGCAGACTAAATGTTTTTCTTTACTGAAAGCCAGAAGATTTCATACTTCTGTAGGAATTTATTCTTTATTTACTACCAAAAGCAAAACTCAAGGTAAGATTATTTTTTAGATTCCAAATGTTGGGATATAATCCATAGAACCCAATGCCCAACCTCAAAGGAAAAAAGTAAATAAAAATACTCTCCCTCTTTATATGGCTTAAAAAAAAAAGACATTCCAAAAATCGTTCAATTTTTGGAGAAAAAAATCTAAATGTTCAAGAGCTTAGGATTTAATTATTATTAATACAATAATCATCTAGCGATGCTTCGATGGATCCTTAAATTACAAATATAATTTTTTTTAAGTTGCTATTTTACCCGAGGGAGTTGTTAAATATGCTCAGCGGATTTTCACGAAATTTTTGAACAGTATATTTGCGGCTTTGATACACAACCGAGTTCGCTCTTGATATTGTATCATTCAAACACAATAAAATGCTTATCTATGCCTCCCATCTGTATGCTAGATGGACCGGTTATGTATCGCGTTCTCTACTGAGAATGTGTATCACGGGCTTTGTAGAACTCTTCTATAAGGAAAATGATTTGATAGGGCTGCAACATTATCTAAGTAATAAAACGTCATCTCATAACTCATCCAAAATTACAATTAAAGCATTGGAAAAAACTTACGTCTATCATCTCAAATTGAACATTACGGTCGTGAAAACAATTAAGATTCTAAGTTCTAAAAATAATGTATACTAAGTGTTCACATATCCGTAAAATCTGTACTATTTCTTTAATTTCAAATTTTATTTTTGGTGTTGGAAATTAATTTTAGAACCATCATATGTATTTTCTTTTTCGAAAGTGCTTTTGTGACGACGATTTGAGGTGAGACTTTATTTTGTTTTTATACATCCCAAGACATATAGAAACCTCATCTTTTCTAAAATAAAAACCGAAAAAGAAAACCTAAAAAGTTTCCAGTGAGCGGTGATAAAATAATGCAGCATTTCCCTCTCCCCAAAACCTAGCGCGTTTCTCTCTCTTGCTAAAAACCCCTCTCACTTTATAAAACCCTAAATCCATCTCTTTCCATTTCTCTTTCTCTTCTAATACCCTAGGGTTTCACACTTTCTCTTCACCAGTGCTTCAACATCGTGTTCTTCATCACTAATGAAGTTTTGGGGTGAGCAACTTCTCTTCTCTTTTGGAGCAACAAACGTGTCCCTTATTTTTCATTTTTCTCTCTCTACATATGTTTCATATTCTATTTGACAATATACAAAACGATCTCTTTCATAATTGTGGATGTTCTAAGGCTTTTCCATTATGTCGGTTCTTTGATTGAGTTGCTTTAAGTTTTTTGTGACATCAAGTAATAGTGGAGCGTTTTTATATGTATTATCCTATATGTGTTTGTTTTCAGTTTTATTTGTGTTAATGGTAGGTTCTACAAAGTACTCAATAGCTGTAAACTTATGTTTCTTGGTAATCTCTGGTTTTATTGGTTGAATTCATTATTATACAACTTCTTTTTGGGGTTTACCATGCATCCTTTTGGGGTTCAAGATTAAAACTCTAAGAAACAGGTTTTGTCAGATTTCATGCCTGGTAATATATTTTCCGGTGCAGTAGAATGAAACGAAATGGAAAGCCAAAAGTAAGTTACGTTTTAGAAAAACCATATTACTCACTGGTTATTCCTTTAAGCTTTAACCATACATATGTTTTTGTTATCGATAAGTGTGTTATGACTAAAAAGGGGTATGTCATACTTTTAATGGTAAAAGTAATCAACATAAATCGTATTGTGTTAACGTTGGCGGCGTCACAAATTGCTTGTCATGATACTATGGAGTTAGTGGCTCTTGTATTGTTGAATGATGATCATTGCAAAAGATGGAAAAATAATCTTTTGTCAAATGTTCATACATGCTGTTTTTTTGTTGACTTTTTGTCATTGCTTATATTTTACAGAATAACCAACTAAAAGTTCTTATCTTTAACAGTAAAACAATTTCATTAGTTCTTGTGTTGCTGTTTACAGATTAGTTGATGCTATTTGTAGTGGTTGTGGTTCACCTGTTCTCAATATTATTTATTTGTCTTGACAAATTATGGGGTTAACATGGGTACCTGGACCATTATATTTCCATGTTGATTCGACATAATAATTTTGTTCGAATAGCTTCTTCACATCAAACAAAGGTTTATGTACATTAGTAGTTGGTGCCTATACGAACATGTAGTAACAAAAATTTAGTCGCCTTGCCGTCTAGGTGGTGGTTTAACCTTTTAGGGGCACTACTTCATGCCATTGGCTTGCATTCGCGTTCTTTAAGTTTTAAAATCATAAGTTTGTAAGTTGTAACCAATAAAAATTAAGTATACAGTGGTTCAAATATGAAACTATTAGAACTTTAAAGAAAATAGATTACCTTGATCTAGTTTAGTCCTGTCTCACAACCATTTCCTATCTAAACGATCTTAAAACACATTTGTATCTTGGATATCCTTATCGAAAATGAGCCTCTCAAGGCATTCATAAAAGCCACTATAATTATCTTCCCTTAAAATTCCTATTATGTGTGAAAGAATTTAAAGTTCAAGTGGAACACAATTTTATGCCAGAGCTGATGAAGCTATTAACCAAGAGGAAACTTTGACAAGGGTGAGAATACATCAAGTGAGTGCACTGCCCCACTTTAAAAAGACTTGAACAAAATAGTGATGCATACCCTCTTCCCTAGAGCATGTTTGGACCACTTGCATATATATATATATATATATATATCTCGATTGTTTTAAGTCAGGAAAGAGGTTGGAAATTTTGTGAGCCCATGCATGGTGACTATTTTTTAGACACCATAAGCAATACACTAAATCAACATTGGGCTTGAGGCTATTGGCGAAGTCCCAAGATGAAGGGAACACTTGATAAAAGTAAGGTGACTGGGATTATATACTGTTGCAACTTTTCCCTTAAAATTGTCTAAAGTTAGGAAAGAGATGGAAAATTTTGTGACCTCATGCCTGGCTGTATCTCTTTCCACAGTGAAATTTTATACCATTCCAAGTGGAATACTGCAACAGTATATGACCACAATTATCTTACCTTTATCAAGTATTCTCTTCATCATGGCACTTCGCCAATAGCCTCAAGTATAATATTGATGTAGTGTGCTGCTTATGGTATTCGATGCTTTTGGAGCAATAAATATCAGGAGGCATATTGATTGTAGCCATGTCTGTTACCACCCAAACAAAATGCTCATCTTTGACTTCCTTATTAACCTTGTCAACCACAAAAAAGATATATTATGCATCATGAACACAAGCAGACGTATCGATAGATCTTAGAAATGTAATACACCATCAAATACTTTATTCCCATTCTTCTTCTATCACTCTATGAGTATGTTGAGATTGAAACCCCATAATGCACCCATGCATGCGCATGGGTATTGAGGTACTCCTACATCTTTATTTTAGCAATGGCTCCCTAAGCTCATAAGGTTTGGAGCCTTCAATCCTAGCTTATAGCTTTTGATGATCGCCATTGCATGAAGCTTTTTAGGTGGACATTATTTGATGGGTATCATTAAATACAATGTTCCGATACATCCGCTAAGCAATATATTGACTTGCGTGGCCTTGGTTTTCTTTTTCTGAACTTGTTTTAGTAATAACTTACTTTTTCCTTCTTCCCCTCACTTGTTTTTGTATCATTTACTTCGCCAGTTCACCCTGGGGGTTGCGAGGGGCTGGAGAAGAGGACATGGACATCCATAGGCTCCTTCATACAAGGTTTATTAAACACATTGATTCTCTCTTGGTGCATTTTTGGCAAGTAGATCTTCCCTTATCTTCTCTCCCGAATATTTGTCAGAACTTCCTTACATGGACCAACATCTTGTTAATGCTGGCACAATGTTTTTTTTATCTATGAATACGCCGATTTGTATTTTATTCCTGATACTTCCACATGATTTTATTTTGATCATTTTTTCTTTCCAACCTGGACCCCATTCCTACAAGAATGCGATCCAGACATATGGATAAATCTCAAAACCCCAATCTATCAAAAGAAGAGCTTAAAAGGCAGCTCTGGAGTGCAATCGAAGATAATGTTGAGAAAATGTCAACCTCCACTCAAAGTGACGAACATGAAGACTTTAGTTCAATGAATGGTGATGATTGCGCAGGAATTGAATTTTCTTAAAAATAAAGAAAATTCACAAGGGACCAGAATGACTCCAACCTATTAAGGACACGTGTCCCAGCCACTGTAGCCACTACCGACAAAGTCATTGTAGTAACTATCGATAGCCACTGTAGCCACTACCGAGTCACTTTAGCCACTACTGACACCCACTATAGCCACTACCGACAAAACCACTAAAGCCATTACAGACAAAGTCACTGTAGCCACTACCGACAGAATATGCTTTTTACTGTAGAAGATAAGCATCTTTAAATGCTGTCGGTGCAGATTTCAAATACTTTCAAATCCGTTTCACTTTGAAGGCTATAAAAGGAGGAAGGCTCCCCTCATTTGAGCATCCAGAGTTTTCTTGAGTCGAAGTGCTCTGCTCTCTTTTCTACAGTCCTCTCTCTGCTCTCTTCTCTACAGTCCTCTCTCTGCTCTCTTCTCTACAGTCCTCTCTCTGCTCTCTTCTCTACAGTCCTCTCTCTGCTCTCTTATCTACAGTCCTCTCTCTACTGTATACCTAGTAGTGATCAGAGCCGTCTGGTTTCTTTTCTTCTATAAAGGTATAAGGGTCTGAAACTGGCATGTGCGACTCCTTTTGGAAGGATGTTCTTGACTACATCCCTGAGCAGCTGAAATTATTTATCAGCTTATGTATCTGAGAAACGTGAGTTTGTTTTGATTTATAGTCCTATTGTATGTTCCTTTCCGCTTTATATTATATGTTTCGCTTTATGTTTTATTGTATGGTATCAGAGCCAAGTTTATGTTACAATAGTTTAACTATTATTACTTCTTCTTTATTATTAACGCGTAGTGTATTACTAGTAGTAGCTGACTTATTAGATAAGGTTCTAATGAAATTTTCCATTGTAGTTCGAGTCAACTGGAAATGGTCCCTACACTTTTCTGGCTCTTCCTGGCCTTAGTGATCTTTGGGTCATAGCGAATTTGAACTACTACTGCAAATTTTTTTTGTTTAGAATCTTATTTAAAGGATCAGTTTTCTATTAGGGATATAGTTAAACTACTAAAACATAAACTTGGCTCTGATACTATACAATAAAACATAAAGCGGAACATATAATATAAAGCGGAAAGGAACATACAACAGGACTACAAATCAAAACATATAATCAAAACAAACTGATATTTCACAGATACAGAAGCTAGTAAATAATTTCAGCTGCTCAGGGATGTAGTCAAGAACTTCCTTCTAAAAGCAGTCGCACATACCAGTTTTAGACCCTTACACTTTGATAGAAGAAAAGAAACTAGATGGCTATGAACACTACTAGGTATACAGCAGAGAGAGGACTGTAGAGAAGAGAGCAGAGAGAGGACTGTAGAGAAAAGAGCAGAGAGAGGGCTGTAGAGAAGAGAGCAGAGAGAGGACTGTAGAGAAGAGAGCAGAGCACTTCGAACTTAGGAAAAATCCGGATGCTCAAATGAGGGGAGCCTGCATCCTTTTATAGCCTTCAAAGTGAAACGGATTTGAAAGTATTTGAAATCCGCACCGACAGCTTTCAAAGATGCTTATCTTCTATAGTGAAAAGCAAATTCTGTCGGTAGTGGCTATAGTGGCTGTCGGTAGTGGCTACAGTGACTTTGTCGATAGTGGCTATAGTGGTTTTGTCGGTAGTGGCTACAATGGCTATAGTGGCTGTCGGTAGTGGCTACAGTGACTCGGTAATGGCTACAGTGGCTATTGGTAATTGCTACAGTGACTTTGTCGGTAGTGGCTACAGTGGCTGGGACACGTGTCCTTTATAGGTTGGAGTCGTTCTGGTCCCTTGTGAATTTTCTTTTTTTTTAAGAAAATTCAATTCCTGCGCAATCATCACCGTTCATTGGACTAAAGTCTTTCTGTTCGTCACTTTGAGTGGAGGTTGTTATTTTCTCGCATTATCTTCGATTGCACTTCAGAGGTTCCTTTTAAGCTCTTCTTTTGATAGGTTGGGGTTTTGTTGCTGTAATATTGCAACATATTTTGATATTTTCATTTTTTGCTTTTGAGGTGAAACTGAATGTATAAGTTTCATTTTTATTTTGTCGGGATTTAGGGATTCATTTTTATAACTGTCCCACCATTTGATATGGATTTGTCTTCTTAATTCGGGAATGTAATCCCACCTGTCCATATCATCTGCTGAGATTTGATAATCCCATTTTAAAATCCACGGGACTTGATATAAGATCATAAAATATATATGGTAGTCTCTTTTAAGACTTTGTCTATTATATTCAGAGAATTTTCTCTGTGAAATTTGTAGCTCTTTCTGCAGAATTTGGTTAGTTGATCCCCATATAGATAACCAATTTTTAAACCAATTTGGTAACTCATTTGGCTCAGTTATTTTGAACAGAATATACCAGCTATGTGAATTTTTTTTATTATGGTATGAGAAGACTTCATCCCAAGGCTTTATGTATTCAAAGTAATGATAGGATTTAATTTTAAATCCTTTCGTATTGATGATCCTTGGTTTTAAAGGATCCATTCCCCATTTTTTGTAAGAAATAACCTTTTTGATTGAAATTTGGTATATGCTATTTGTGTATCATTATTTCTATAATTGTGAACTATGAAAACTGATCCTGTTTCCATAAAGATACTTTCGTACCATTCTCTAGATCTGTCACCCATATTAGGATGCATATGTTGCTTGAGGTATAAGGCAGCTATTTCAATTGGATTTTTAGACTGATGATCATTTTCTATAATCAGCAAAGAAATATATTTTGTTTTTAAATATAAGGTTTTAGCACTAGGAGTTTGAGTGCTTATTAGAGCATTTGGTCTTGATGGTGATGTCGGGGATGATCCTGGACTAGGGATTATTTCATCCTCCTCTTTTGTAGGCTTCTTCTGCCCTCCCTTGCCATCTTGCAAAGATTTGCTTTGAAACGAGATTTTTTACATCTTTTTGAAGGATGTCCTTGGCTACTTTACAGTCAGTTCTTATAAAGAATGATTGGTTAAGCATGTCGCTTTGAAATTTTGTGACAGCATGGACAATAGCAAGTATCTCTTTTTTAACTGTTGAATAATTTTGTTGAGCTGGGTTCCAGGTTTTAGAGGTAAACCGGACCAATTGTTCTTGATTATTAGTTTTTGTTTTAAAACAACACCAAGTCCTTGTTCTGAGGAATCTGTCTCTATAATTTTAAACGTTGTAGGACTTGACAGGGCTAAGCATGGTAATTCCTTAGCATTTGTTTTAATTTTTCTGACTGCCTTGGTATGTTCTTCGGTCCATTATGGAGGATGCTTTTTCAACCTTTGGAATAACGGTTTTGCATCTAGGGCCAAATCTTTATAGAAGTCAGAAATATAATTTAAGTAACCAAGAAATCTTTGTAATTTAGTTTTTCCTGTGATCACATCTGGGAATTTAGATGCGAATTCTATTGCTCTATCAATGGGAATGATTCTTCCCTAAAATATATTGTATCCTAAAAGCCTTATTTTTGTCTGGCATAGATTTATTTTTCTAACGGAAACTACTAAGCTAGCATTTTTTATTGCTTTACAAATGTACTTAGATGTTTCCAATGTTGATCAATTGATTATGAGAAAGCAAGTACATCATCAATATAAACAATCATGAACTTGATATAAGGATTAAAGATTTCATTCATGATTTTTTGAAATTCGGATGGTGCATTTTTTAATCCGAAATGCATAACGTTCCATTCAAATTGTCCAAATGGAACATTAAAAGCAGTTTTATATTTATCTTTTTCGACAATCTGGATTTGCCAATAGCCTGATTTAAGATCAAATTTTGAAAATATGCAGGTATTTGCCAGTCTATCTAAGAGTTCTCTTTTGTTTGGGATTGGATATCTGATCCACCTTAAAACTTTGTTGAGGGGTTTATAATTTATAACCAGTCTCGGAGCCCCTCTTTTTATCTCTGAGGCCTTTTCCACATAAAAGCTGAACAGCTCCAGGGTGATGAGCTTTTTCTGATGAGATTTTTGTCCAATAATTCTTTTATTTCTTTTTTATCGATTTCGAGTAACCTATTGTTCATTTGAATAGGCCTTGCTTTTGTAGGAATTTTTCCTTCTCGAAAATCTGGTTCAAAGGGGAGTTCAACTATATGTTGTTTTCTGTCCCAAAAAGCATTGGGGATATCAGCAGATATACTTCTTGCCATTTCTATTTTTAGATATTTAATTTTTTTTGGAGTTTTAGGAAGAGATATTTTTTCTTCCATATTTTTGTATTTTATTTCTTCTTTCAGATAATAAAGAAAATTTTCTTTAGAAGACATCTTATATTTAATGTTATTGATTTCATGAACTCTAGGCTTATCAATAAAGGTGAATTTAACCTTATGCCCTTCAATACTAGCTTCTATCCCTGTGTTATCAATTTTAATTGGATAGAGTATGTTTAAGAAGGGAGTCCCTAAAATAACAGGTTGACTTAAACCTTTTACCATTATGAAGGGGAATTTGAAACAAGCACCATTATTACATACTGCAGCATTTGACAATTTATAATTAATAAGCATTTTGCTCCCATCGGCAGTATTAAGAACTTGGGTAGTCTTGCTGAAGTATTTAGTTGGTATTAATTTTTTAT